AATACTGTTCGATTTGAAAATTCATAAAGTCATACATTAATGAATACAAAAACAAGAATGGGGTAACAGAATATATAAAGAACAACCTGATACATCATGTTTTCAGTAAAATTAAAAACAAGTTCTTTATTAGTTTATTTTCAGTGAATGACATTGGTACTCAAAGTCAACCCACAGTTTTTCATACACACTTTCACATTCTGCATTTAACTTGAGAATAAACACTTTCTTCAGTTTCCAGTTCATTCTTCCTCTTCTTTCCTCTTGTAGCTTTGCTTCCAGAGAAATGCAGTGCAGCGTAGTTCAGATCATATTCACCCTCAGGCTATGCAAAAAACACCATTAGTTCCATAAAATAAAGGGGTGGGAAATCATTTAAATCAATTAACAATGTCTTATTACTTACACTACTGTCCACTGTTTGCCTCAAGTCATCTTGTCTTTCCTGTGAAGAGCTTTTTTCTGTGCATAATGGTGATAAAAGAGGATTGTTATTATTATCTCTTTTTTTATTAATGTTTTAACCAGCAGTCAAACTGTTGGCAGTGACGTGGACAAAGTCAATAAGAGATGTATATGTACATATACAACTAATACTGAGACTCAAAAATATTTAAACAAAAGTGTTTGATTTTAGATTGATGAATTAATATATAACCTGCAAAGATTTGTTTATATTGGGGAAAAATTTAAGTGTGATGTTTACACAACACATGATCAAATGTAGTGAGTTTTGCAAGGAGCAAGCACAATCAAGACTAACATATACATATACTTGATTTTACACAAATTAATAAAATTATTTCTGAAAACATGTTTTGAACGTGAGGAAAACTAAAGTGTTATTATAATTGTTACTTTAGTGAACAACACTTACTTTGAAATTGTTTACATGCTGCTCTTGGAGTTCGGCAGCAGATGAAAATAATATTGAGAATCACAGAAATTATCAAGCAGATTATTGCTATCATCAGAGCTATGAATTCCAAACCTGCTGCTTGCTCTACAAAAACAAGAAAAGAAAGTTTCTCAAACACACTGACACTGACATATAATATTTTTAACATAATATATATTTTTTAAATCATACCCATTTGTTGTTTAGTTGCATTTCCAAATAATATTTCTCCACATGTGGCCACAGCACAGTAGTAAGTCCCAGAATCAGAGGAGCTGATGTTCTTAGACAAGCGATAAACACAACTCTGCCCAGTCTCAGATCTTTTGTCACATTCATGATGTCTGTTTCCAGCGGTGTATATGATGCCAGGATGAGATGTATTTGCTTCCCTGAACCAGAACACATTGTGACCTCCTGGACATGTCTTTCTGTTAGAGCTGGAGAGGACTGAACACTGAAGAGTCACAGAGTCTCCTGGATGGACTTTCTCCTTAACAAAAGTGTAGTTTGTTCTCTGGGTGTTTCCTGTTTAATATAAATGTGTTAACAAAGCACAAGGTGAAGGACTGATGTACTGTGTCTATAAAACGTCTTTAAAATGAATTAAAATAAATTTGTATTAGTATATTAACTGTTTTCTGATCATGCTTTTGACAATTAATAAGCCGACTGAAGCAAACCCCATGAAAATAGAGCACATCATTACCTTTTACTAACAAATACGTCCCGGTCCATTCAGTATTCTTACGCCACTCTGTGAATCCACAGTGATAAATTCCCTCGTCCTCTTGATTTGTCTTCAAAATGGTCAGGTTGGTAAAGTGTTTATTATGATTTACCTTCAATCTGGAGTTATTAAACTCAGGCGCAAAGTCAGGTGTTGCA